AATTTGGTCAGAAATCAGGGTCACAATGACACTAAATCTTTGACCAATCAATAACTTGTATAAACTGGCACTTTTTACGGGCAAGTGAAGTAGGGGCATCCTTGTTAGGAAAATTCATATAAATAGTGTAATTTGATTGGTTATTTATCTCGTTCGCACGAATTAGCTTTCTCGTGGCCACGACTAAACTTTTCTCGTGGCCACGACATAGTAACTTGTTCAACGACTTATTTATCTCGTGGCCACGACTTAGTTATCTCGTTCCCACGACTTAATTATCTCGTGGCCACGACTTAGTAACTCGTGGCCACAAACATAGTATCTCGTTCCCACGACTTAACTATCTCGTGGCCCCGACTTAGTAATCCGTGGCCACGACACAGTATCTCGTGCGCACGAGATAAATAAAAACACACACATGTCACCTTTGTGCCACCTTAAGTTTGATAAAATTCAATTTCACTTATCAAGAAGTGTAAACAATTGTATAAGAGGTGAGTTGCCACTTGTAGGATGAGTTATTAGAGACATAAAAAATTTTTTTTTCCACATGCTGGCGGAATCTTCAAAACACGCACTTTTCGTCTGTCGCATCGTGTTCTCTTGTTTTTCAGTAAATTTACATGTCAGTCCCAAACTAACACTGTTCTGTGTATACGCCCCTATATAAAGTGGACGTAACTTTGTTTACTCCACGTGCCAAAATACGGGATCATCCGGAAAATAACGGGATGTACCGACAAAGCGACACCTGCTGTCATAATATGAACACAAATTATGCAACTTGCATTATGCTTACTGCCAACTGCTTTGCTTAGTGCGTACTGTCACATGCGACTATAATATCGCTATCGTTGTTATCTTTGTTGTCGATGCGCAGTGATCATGTATTGCATTATATTTGTAATCAGTGAATATTTTGAAGCATATGAATGCTAAGACACATCAAATTCGCCAATTATTGATCAAAATGAAAAGTTTATTTTGACATAATGTCGACAATATAAGTGGCAGATTTATAGCAAATTAAAGATACAACTACCATGTTACATATAGTTATAAAGAATGTTATCTTAAACACCAAACATGATACGTTGTCCTTAAAAAAAGATGCAATTAAACATATAGCATATTAAAATATGTGAGTTTGATGGTTTAGTAGGGAACACACAAGGTTGCAATTACATGAAAGTGCATTCAGTAATCATAAGGCATGATTGAATTCAGCAAAACGCAGGTTTTCATTGTCATAAAGAAGTATAGAAGCAAGCATAATGTAAGTTCCGATATCATAAAGCAAGATGGAATAAATGCATTAATTCTGTTCCATAATATTCGCATGTTTAGTATTCTTTTTGAAATATGTTAAACACCATGACTCACATCTGTCAAATTTTTCACAGAAATGACGCATGTATGTGCCGTCAATGCATAATTCAATAGAACATGATGTTCATTTATAATCCAATATGTAAAATGGAAAATAAATCTATAAGATGTAAGCATTAAAGAAACACGTCGTTTTCTAAACATGTCAGGTAAAGTCACTCATTTCATAATTATTATATCTTTTTATCTTCTTATTGGTTAATCCCCACTTTTGTGTGGTCGTATCATATAATCATCTTGCAATTAATTTAAGAAACTAAAACGGAGCAAAGATAAATGCGACTGTCAAAATATGCAGATAGTATTATATAAATTCAAACGTTTTTCATACACACAAATTGACCTCTACTTCTTGCTATTGTTACGTTATTTTGGAGTATGTCCATATATCAGACTCAAACCATCTTGAATACATATTAATTCGCCTTTTTGTATCAGATAATTGCATGAACAGCAAAGGGATAGTGTTGTAGCGTTAAGATTTCCTAGTTAAAGTATCGGTATCAGTACGAAATATTTCAACCTTTGAAATGCATCAAAAACATGTTATAAATCTCTACTTTGACTTTCTAAATAATTATACCATTATTTCAATGGACAAAAACATTCCATACGACTTAGCTTTTTTGGTTCATTTTTATGATAATGGACCTTCTGGAAAACAATCTCATAGACAATCATGTAAACTCCATTTAGCACTTTAAGATTATAAATATTTTCACAAAGTTTTGTTTCGTGCTCATAAACTATGCAATCTTGTAAAATCCCTTTAGGCGCATACTGTTTCACTTAACTTTTATCTGATGTATTTCTGAATTGATGTATTCTTGCTAATATATATTGTTGCAATCAACTGACAATTGTACATTGGCAATTTTCCATAAGCGTATGCTATCCAAATATCAACCATACTCGTACAAAACCTATGTTTTTCTTTGCTTCAGTCGCAATTTTTTCCCGGTGCTAGGGGGCATGAGGAATCTTGCACTTCTCATAATCCCTCATGTGTAGACCGATACTGCAAATTTTATGTAATGTTGTTGTGATGAATGCTTATGAGGGATCACATGCTATCCGTATTTTTATTTCGGTTTTATGTTTGTCTTAGAATGTTTTACATGCGAAAATGATCGGTTGTATCAAAAATGCTTTGGGCAAAATTATACTGAGGGTCCAGCGACTCTCAAAATGTTCTGGTGCGTTTTTTTTATCTCCCGCTGAATTTGTGCGATATACATGTTTTGTTGTGTGTTTGGATGTTTGTCTTTCTGTCTGTTTATCTGCCTTATATTTCTGCTGTTATACATTATATTTGAGCCGCGTCACGACAAAACCAACATAATGGGTTTGCGACCATCATGGATCCAGACCAGCCTGCGCATCCGCGCCTGCGCCTGTTCGCTTACAAACCATATAACAAGTAGAGAAACTGATAGCGAAAAGCATGGATCCTGGATAGCTTCTCAGCATAAAAGATTTCAAACAACCCGCTGACGGGTTTCAAGCTCATTGCGATAAGAGGCAAGCGATGTTAATATTCTTACAGCTTTTAATTATTTCTTCTTTAATATAACAGCAAGTATTTGTCGATTAGCTACCTATAATGAAATTTGTTTTATGGCTATGTCTTTCGAAAAATTGAATTCTTTGATCAGAAAACGTTATTTCCAATGACTAAATAAAATTATATAAATTTGTTTTAGTGCAGGTTATTATATTGATGATATCATTCATGCAATGTTCTATTATGTTTTAATTACTTTTTACGTGTATACAAGCTACAGAATATTCAATGACCTTTAATCATGTTGTTCCAACTTGTTTGGGTGGCTGAGGTGAGTGAATATGCCTGTCTAGCTTAAATTGTTAGTGTACAAGTAAAAGTATAAACACTTTAAATTTTGCTTAAGTTGCTTGTAATTGTTATATACTTCACATAGATAATCAATAACCCACTTTACTCCTGGATAATTCTATAAATATATCCTTCAGAATGTATATATAACAATAAAATAGTGGGACAGTCTTTCTATATTTAAAGCAGTGGCATAGCTTACAATTGTCTTTTATTCATTTTTGATCAATGAACATTATCAACCTTTTGAAATATATAACTAATTAAGCTCAACTTGTCAACGAAAATGTTAATTTAACTATTGTCAATGTTGTGTTTATGATCTGTGGATATTTAGATAATCCATAAGATGTAGAAATGGAACTAATTATTCACTTGCCGCCAGAATAGAACCTATGTCACAACAAAGGATATTAGTAGGCTACAGTTTAAATACTTCTTTTGAAATTCATAATTAGTACTTGTTTACTTCATTTTTTCCCAGATTTACAATTGTTAGATGAAAATAACGTATGAATTAGTTGTACATTAAATTAACATACGCAACGGTTTTAAAATTGATATGGAATTAGTTATATCTTTCCCCATTTAAATTCATAGAAACACAGCTATACGACTACATAAAAATGTGATTAAAAGAATTCTAAAAGGCTGATGTTTTTATTAACAACGACTGACACAGAAACAAACAATATTATTTCAGAAAAAGTATTTCAACCAGGGAACTGTTCAACACAGATATTGATTATATTACACAAACCTCTAATATAAGAAACATTAAGTGTTTTCTTCTAATATTCAAGATTTTCATAGGTTTCTTCTAATATTCAAAACATGCATTGTTCTCTTTTAATATTGAAAACATTCATCGTTGTCTTATAATATTCAAAATATTCATTGATTTTTTTCTCACATTCCAAACATTCATTGTTTACTCATATTAATATTAAAACGTTCATTTAAGAAATAATATCGGTCTGAGCGGTGTTTATCGGCTATTTAACACCGGTTTGGAGTTCTGACGCGTAGGTATTGACCACAAAGGACGTAGGCCTGAGTGGTTAAAATTTGTTCGCATCAAAACGAAAAGGCCGGTGTTAAATGGCCGAAAAACACCGCTCAGACCGGTATTCTTTCGATTCTAACAAGACAAAAATAAGGAAGATCACTACACTAATGATTAATTTTGCAAGCGTTGGTTACTTCCGGTGATTTTCGTATATAACGCTGCTCGATTTTGCACCGCACTGTTGCAAGGATATAGTAGTTATTGAACTATCAAGTTTTCAACAATTCAAACTGGATTGTATTGTGTATACATCAGTGCTCGATTAATCATTATTGTCAGTTTAAAATGACGTCATTCATCATACATCACGCCTTTGGATCAAACATGTTGGGGAAGTGTTTGTAAAATATTATTTTAGCATTACAATGTATAAGAAAAAACATCGGAAAAACGGAAAATATCAAGAAAAATGCCGCAAAAATTGTTAACTATAAATTATTAACTAAATATAGAGGAAGAAAAAATAACAGCCGAATAACATGTAGTCTTTAACCCGTGTTTATTGGCAATTAAACACCGTTTTTTACTTCTTTGTGTATAAAAATATACATGTAGTTCCTTACCCGAGTTTATTTGCAATTAAACACCGTTTTTTACTTCTTTGTGTATAAAAACAAAATCACGAGAAGCGTTAGAATGTTTTATTACATTCAAATATTTTTTTAAACAGCTCACCTTTCGTGATAACATAATGGTATTTTTAACTAATTCGTTAGAAATGATAATTTGTCACAATGGTTAATAATGTTTTTTAATTTAATTTACACTGAGGTAAGATTTAAATGCGTTTCAAACCCTTTGTACAAAATGCACCTACCCGGCTTGCTCGGGAAGACTGCCATTGGACGGTGTTTAAAATGAAAATGTATTCGATTATGAATTACCTTATTAGGACATGTATACATAAGCTTGGATTCAACGCGGTGCATTATATCCTAAGCATTTGCATTGCACTATTACGTTTTTATTTTTAGTATTTTCCATTTTACTGTCTTTCATTATTGTCTTCAAATCTTTTATAATTAATTACATTATAAGATATAATAAAACATTACAAAAGCACTGTTCACGTAGTTGTATGAGTTAAGTTTTATTTGAATCCATAGCGAGGTTGATCTTTTGCCAAACATATTATGATAGATGTCAGCTCATGTGTAATAAGATATACAATATTCAAATAAAGTAAGTAAAAGAGTTGAATTTTCATAAAATAGATAAAACTGTTAATTAGTTTCTTCTGATCTTCATTACAGATTTCTTGAGAGAGTAATAATGACCCCAGCAGCCGTACCAAATAACACCCCGACCAAATTCAGGGTTTGCTCCGTATAGGTAAAATCCATTAAGATTAACGTTATGACATTCTTTGTACCACCAACCTCCACTGAATGCCACTGCACAATTGCCACCATAACTATCATAATCATTGTCTTTTGTTGAAAATTGACAATTGTAATGATACAACATGGAATCACCGCACGACCCGTTATATCCCCCAATCGCCAATCGGTAATTATCACTCTCGTCAGTAATGTTGAAGGTAGTATACTCAGCAAAAGCAGAAAATGGATTCTTTTTGTCATTTGGAAATGTTTCCATGTAAACGTACAGGGAACTGTCGTTACGTGTCAAATGATAAATAGTTTCAAGCCCAAGCCAATACTCGCCACTCCTGTTCCCAAATCCTTGTTTGTATTCCTCCCAATTTCTGTAGAAATCTTCAGATCCGTCTTGCCGGCGTTGTATAACCGTCCATCCACCATTGGTCATATCACACCACACATCAGTAGCAGTACTTCCGGTTGGTTTAATCACATAAACACCGTCCTCGGTATAGCCTTGCTGGTAAAGAGCAAGACAATCAAAGGGCTCTGGGTATTTATGTATTCTTTTTACTTTTTGACTGCCTTCCTGTAAAACAAACATTATATATATATTCGAAGAAATGAGTTGTTTCTCTGCAAAACACAATTTTTTGTCAAGAGCATGTCTATTACTAAATTGTTAATATTATTTGAGTATTAGAAATGCAAAACGCTCGGTTTGAAGATAGATGTAGTCATAGATATTTAATGCCATTTGTAAACAAACGATAATTACTTGCAATGCACTTTAATTATAATTATGGTAAAGATAAGATCACAGTATAATATTTAAAATGTAAAATACAAATGATATATCAAGCTTTGTAAAAGATGGATGGTTTGTTTAGGTGAAAAATTAGCCTCCTCCGGACTGACCGAGTCTTTAATACGGATATCATAGACTATTTTTGGTTATTCATATTTTTGATTAAATATTAAATAATAATAAATCATGATATTCTTTAATCATTCTCTCATGCAACGTTATAAAATTCAAATATAAAATTGATAAAAAAGATACATAGATAATTGATACAAAAATTATATTACAACGATTATTTAAAAAACAATTCTTACTTGAATGTAAGTTATTGACATCATTTCCGTTCTTATTCCATGTGATATGTCTGCGTCCACATTCTCATAGTTATCTATATTGACGTCATCATCAGTACTACAATAGCATGTGGAGTTATCCTCATTAAAGTAAGCCGATGCCAGCTCAAGACTTTGACAATGATAGACACATGATACCAATGACTTTTCATGATGTAGAATCACCGTTGCATCGGTTTGAGGGATATGAGATACCTTTTCTATTTTAAATGTAGATGTAGAACGTCCCCTTTCCAAAGTATCTGCTTCTGAATAACAATGATTAATCCCAAGGAAAATAAAAATAAATCCAACAATGTCTTTTCTGCACGTAAGTAAATTCTTTTCCATGTTATCGTAGCCTATTGACAGCGAATATAAAACTGAATGCGCTGCTACGCCTCCGAGAAGAACAAACATGAATATGGTCATGAATAATCAATCAGTCGTAATTAGTTGCTGGATATTTATCACCTTGCATGCTTTTTCCAGTCGCTGCTGCTTAATGAGGGATAACGACTCGCCTCGTATCTATTTTCTGTACATAGGAATGCAAAATAAAATGCATATAAAAATGTACAAAAGACAATGCTGCTTATACTTAAGGCCCGATACAAACTTTATCAGCGTTCCGGATGTGATGTAATGAATGCCAACAGCCGCGAAATCTCCTCGCGCGCTATTCAGCACTGAGCTGACGACTGACAGTTTTTCAAAGTAACGACCCGGATGCAGCATTTGTGACGATGAATCCACTGTCATTTAATGACATCAGCGTGTTATTCTGCAGGCTACCTTTTGACGTTGGAGTTGCGCTATCTAAATTGGAATCTTATAGATAAACTTATAAATAATAAACTATGACGGCTGTTGTCAAAAGACCAAATGCATTGCGTAGGATTAGATTAAACGTAAAGAGACCAGAACAGACATTTACCAGATAAGTACATTAATCTAAGGAAATCCTATCATTGTTTTATGATAAGCTTTTTTCCCATTTAATTTGAACTAGAGAAGGAAACGATTTGTATATGCCTTAAAATATCCTGTTCTTTTTTATCCCCTATTTAACAAAAATATTAGATTATATGAAATAGAATGAAACTTTACCCGTGTTTGATTAAACATACATGTTATGCAATAATTCATAGATATATACATAGATTTGCATTTCTGCTAGAATAATAATAAAAAGGAATGAAAGTAGGAGACATGCATTATAAAAGTTCAAGTTTGTTTGTTTTGATTAGGTTTTAGTCACACCAACACATTAATGGCGACGTTCCAACTTGACTGGTGGATGAAGACCTCAGGTTCTCTTCCTTGCATTATCTCAGGCACAACGAGTAGAACCAGCTGAAAAACTTCCTTACATGAAAGAATCCAAAGTCCCTGTCGGGATTCGAACCTCACAGCTGTGAGGACAATAGTTTGTAGGCAACGACCTCATCCAGTCTCTCGCCAACCCCCCTCAACAGTTCAAATAGACAGATTTATGTATTTATTACATACCATCAATGGAATATTGAGAAATATTGATGAAATAAAATGCGTATTTTTATATTTTGTCTTTTCACTGTAAAAAATATTTTTCGCTGCAGTGAAACATATTTTCTGTATTTTCACCGGTGTCTTGCAATACACAAAATTTAAAGGCAAGTCATATAATTGAAGTGTCAAAAAAAGAGAGAAAAATGTGTATCAACAATAAACAGAAAACTTTTTTTTCTCCTATAAATACAAGATTTATCTTCATCTTGTGGTATGACAATTATCATATTTCACTTGTGCCTCCGCAATTCATGACATTTTTATTTCAATACCACACGATGAAAGTAAATCCTGTATTTATAGAAACAGCTGAAATCTCGTCTATTTATAAAGTGATATTTGTCTACAACTTTGGCGGGATACGCTTTGCAATCTTTGCCAAAATGAGAAAGTTTCAGAGTTAGTAAGAATCAAGTGATCAATCTGAATAATTGTTCTTTCTCATATTTCTTATCTAAAAATCAAATAAAATTCCGTTTTCAGCTACGTTCAGCTGTAAATAAAATCATATATTACTGAATATTAAAATTGGAATAATTATTACAATGTTATAAAAATGATTACAAGTCTGTCTGCAGAAGACAGGACTCAGCTTGAAACTGTTTGTGATATTATAAAGATATCATAATGTACAAATTTCGACATTCATACTATATACTACATAATCATAACTGCACTAATTTCCAAAATGCAGAAAAAAGTAAATAAAAAAAAATGAAAGAAAAAAAAAAAAAAAAAAGAAAGAAAGAAAAATACTAAAAAAAAACAACAACAACAAAAACAACACACGCAGTAATAGGATAGCTTAGGTATAATTATGTGCAATGAGTAACGCATTTTTCAGTAAAAAACTGGTCTTTTATTTACAATATACAGTCATGTATATTATATCATATCATTGCAACTGATCATGTGTTGGTGAAAAGGATTCATAGATTTACTGCTGCGATTTCGCGTTAGCTGTCAGCTCTCTACTTGTCCAATAGTGTGACATGTTTGTTTGCCATTGTTGTATTTATCCATACAAAATAGTTTGACACTTTTATCTTGATGTTATTTTTCTCTGAAAAGTCTTATTAAAGGCCCATTATGCCTCAGAAATGTTATCATTATGTCTGAAAAACTTTTAATTATTTTGTATCTTAGAAACAGTTTCCAAAAACATACTCATTTGCTATATACATGAACTATCTTTTAAATTTAGTTTTGTTGGCATTTGGTATAGTTATTGTGAATTAATATTTTGTATGGAAGTCAAAAACTAGTACTACTTTGTCATGTTTGTTAACATTTTGCTACCTTTATGGCACATAACCGCAAGTTCAGCACTACCTTTTTCAGCAGTTAAGCATCGTACATGCACTTAATCCATTTTCTTAACATTATTTAACAGACGTTTTTAAAGAATTATAAAAACATGGATTTCTGAGGTATAATATGCCTTTAAGCAGTTTAGAGTTTTGTTTATTTAAAGAAATATAGGTTTTTTTTTATCTTTATCAGTGAGAAGTTATCTTTGCCAAGCCTTTTTTATTATTATGTTTCCATGAAAATTGACTTCCTATTTGATTATTGTTAAAACATCTATTGTTCGTTCGCCTCATGAAAACTTCCTAGTCGATTATTTTGAAAACATCTATGATTCAGTCACGCTTCATTGTCCATTTGATACAAAGTCCCGGCCCGAAGTTTAACTTTATTCGTAGAAGTTTCAACATACACCCTCACTCTAGGGGGCAGGGGACATATTCCTTACTTGGCTCCGATGATTTTAATTTATTAATCATACAGACATGGTGTTTTGAAGAGAAAATATATATTTCTTTGTCAATGTAATTCGTTGTAATTTGTGTGTAGGATATGGGCAAAATGTATATAAATGTGTCCGAAACTTAGCCTCCGGTAGCTTTGTATGCAGCCGTAACTCTTCAAAAGGAGGTTGAAAAATTGTAAATTTTGATTGTCCTTTGCTACAAAACTAGTAAGTATTTTGATAAGTTTTTGTAAAAAAATCTAAACGTACGACTGTTTAGCATTTTCAAAGTTTATGATAACTACTATACTATAGAAAAAATCTATAATTAAAGATATTAGGCTTATTTAATTCTGAAGTGTAATGTGTTTTCATGAAGATTAGCCATACTTCTTGATTTTCAGCTTGATTTTGGATTGGTGTGTGTGAAGGGTGGGATAATATTATTTACCCTCAGTTAGTACTGCATGGAGCAATGGATGCAGATTGCTACTGTTTTTAATTTTTGTCATATATCATTGAATAATATTTAACTTTACATTGATATAACATTTATCCATGGACCTTTTTTGCACACAAAAGGTCCCAGGGACTGTACTAAATAAATTTTAAATTTTCCATAATTCCTGTCAGTTTTATAATTTACTTCGCATGAACATGTCCGACGGAAATTTCTGTAAATACCCATCAGCAATTACCTGTAACACTCATTTTTTTAAAAAAGAGTGGGACAGTCTTTTTATATCTTAGGTAGATTTATATTTTATCTTAAACATTTTTCAATTATAACCGTTGGTAAGTCGCCATTATAGCAGTCAATCTTGTAAAACATATACTCAATTCAGCTCCACCTTACAATAAAAAATTTGCATAATGCCCATGAAATGTAAATAAATATTTTATTTATGATTATAAGTCCTGAATAATGATCCTAAATATTTTTTTATTGCCGAACAATATCTCAAACTGACAACAGTGGTATGCCTTCTCGGTTGCAAAAAAAGTTTTTCTTACATGTATTACATTGCGGTTCATATTTATCGAGTCATTATAAAAATGTAAGTTCATATTCATTTTTCTTTAATTTTAAACACTTCCGAAAAAGGCCGATTAATATTTGGACAATCAAAAAAAAAATGTAAGGCATATTGTACTTTACATAATACCAGGTCTTATTTGTTTATTTTTCAATGTTCTATATTAGAAGAGGCGCATTTATTACCTTTAAAATGAAACGAATTGCTGGATTGACTACCTATAGTCTATAAACAGCATGTTATGGTATAACAATTCAGACAACTGCTTCGATTCAAGTGGGCATTAATTTTGATAATTTCTGGTTTATTTTATATTTATTATCAGTATGCAATTAATATTAATCGCTTTAAAATGTATTCAAATACGGCTTGCCAAGAGATTGTTAATCTAAATAAACATGATTTCATAAAATTTTAGCAATATTACGAGGGTCATCACCAAGTCCTATCCAAACAAACAGAAGAGCAGGGCCAGACTCAAAGAAATGATGTTATTTTCATTGTTATATGAAAATAGCATTGATCATATTAGGCTAAAATGGTATAGTAAATAAATATATGTATATTGTAAAAAACATGCTGATTTACAAAATACAAACCTAATGTATAAAAAGATGGATTACAACACACATTTAAATTATAACAGAATCAAGAAAAAGATCAATTTGACGAAAAAGATCAATATTTTGATCGTCTGTCTTGTTAAGATAGGACACCTCAAATGGGCACTATAAGGAACTGTAAAATTGACAACATAGGGCAGTTATATGCCTTAAAAAACAACTGTATGCAAAATTTAAACAAAATTTACCGTATGGGTTATGAGTTATGGACATTTTTATGAACTTAACCTTGGATGTTAGAAGTTTTTTTTTCAGAAATGAGGAAACTCTAAATAATCTTTAATATCATCGTTATGAAAAAGTGTTTTCCTACTAATCACTGCTAAGAAACAAATGCTATTATTCAGGTAACAAATCACACGAGAAAAATGACTGTTTCTACACAAAATGTTTTTGTACAAAA